CCCGGGGCGGGCGCCGGGGACTGCGTGACGGTGCGGGAGGAGGTGGTGGCCCACCGGAGCCGGCCGCACCTCTACCTGCAGCGCATCCGCATCGCCAACCCCACCGAGCGGGTGGCCGCCTTCGAGGCCTCGGCCCCGGCTTCCGCACCCTCGCTGGGCGGCCGCTTCGCCACCAGCCTGGAAAAGGTGGAGGAGCGGCAGTTCCTGCTCTCCTCCGGTCGCCTGCTGCTGCCCGGGAGCCCCAAGGTGGTGCTTATGGTGGTGGCGGCCAAGAAGCTCGTGAGCCGGGTGCAGGTTGCACCCAAATCCCACTTTGACGAAACCGTGCTCTCCGTGGTGTACACCTCGGAGCCTATCGAGGTCTCCAGGCTGGAGGAGACCTTCAGCAAGCTGAGGGAGTCGGCCAAGAAAGAGATGCTGGAAGTGATGCAGATGGGGGTAGAAGATCTTTTCCAGGAGCACCAGCAGACCTGGTCAGACCTGTTCATTTCAGGTAAGGAAAGTGATGCTCAGCTTCCAGGGGTTGCTTGATGGGGCAGCTGAAAGCTCAGTGACCTGGTTGCTGTAAGGTCTCCACAGGCTCCGCTCCTCCTGATGGGTTTCTCTTGGGGGCCAGAAGGCATGTTGTGAGATAATGAAACAGTGTTCCTGGTTTGGAACCCAGCATACTTTACAAAAATGGAGTATTCCTTACTGCATAAAGGAAATGATAAAAGAATGTTTCTAATCATAACTCTGGCTGTGCTGGCTTTTGTGTTTTCAGGAACTTTACTGATTCGCCCAGCCTGTCAGCTCTGAATTGGAAATAGAGTTGACCTCCAGTGACAGTATAAAGGACAGATTTCTTCATGGAAGTTAAGGGCTGTCCTACAAGGATGCTTTTTCTTAAGATTTTAATGGCTTTAGCATAGAAGAGCAGCTGCCTAAGTAATGCAGAACTTGCTATTTTATAGCCAGTAAAAAAATAGATGTTCCTTTGGCAGACCATTCTTGCGGAGTCATGATGACAGCTCCATAAGGCATCTGTGTATCAAACTAGCTTTGCCTTTAGTGGGAGCTTGGCATTCAAACTCCAGATAGCAGAGAGAGCATCTAAGAAAATACAAGGAAACATTTCACTTCAGTGTTTCATAGGCAAAGGTTTCGTAGATGTTATAAAGAACACCTGTGTATTAAACGACATGCATGTTTGATCTTCTTTGTCTCCTAGTTAACGTCATATTCACGTGGGATCCTCTGACTCTTGGTTGTTTTCTTTTATTACAGGGATTGAAATGAGAAAGATCACAGATTTGCATACCCCATCCAGTGAGACTGTTAACATGACCCTCTACTATGTGCTGTCAAGCATGCCAGCTCCTCTGCTAGATCCACTCATTAGTGGTGAGGACAGAGAAAAAATGGAAGCCAGCTTGAACTATGCTGACCACTGCTTCAGTGGCCACGCGACCATGCACGCAGAGAACCTGTGGCCAGCAAAGCTGACCAGTGTTGCCCAGATCTTGCAACTCTCAGACCTGTGGAAGCTAACTCTCCAGAAACGGGGATGCAAAGGTCTTGTGGCAGCTGGAGTCCATGGACTTATGCAGGGAATGGTGCTTAGTTTTGGGGGTCTGCAGTTCACAGAAAACCATCTTCAGTTTCAGGCTGACCCTGACGTACTTCATAACAGCTATTCCTTACGTGGGATCCATTACAATAAGGACTTGATTAATCTAGCTGTTCTGCTGGATGCTGAAGGAAAGCCCTTCTTGCATGTGTCTGTGAAATTCCAAGACAAGCCAGTTAGACTATACGCGTGTGAGGCAGGCTGTATGAATGAGCCTGTGGAGCTGACCTCGGAGGCACGAGGTCATACGTTCCCCGTCATGGTGACTCAACCCATCACGCCACTGCTTTATATCTCGACAGATTTGATCCACTTGCAGGACCTGAGACACACTCTCCATCTAAAAGCTATTCTGGCTCATGAGGAACACATGGCCAAGCAATACCCAGGCTTACCCTTCCTGTTCTGGTTCAGCGTGGCCTCCTTAATCACATTGTTTCACTTGTTTCTGTTCAAACTCATCTACAACGAATATTGCGGGCCAGGAGCCAAGCCGCTCTTCAGGAGTAAGGTATAAGGCTGCTGATTTGGCTGCTGTCCACTGAGTGTTGTCAACCTGATTTTCTGTCAGCTGTGCCTAGGGAGGTTCTGTCTTGGACTGTGAGGATTTCCAGTCTCTCTTGCAACAAGTGATCTGTGACCTCTTCTTGCAAGAAGTAGGAGTAGGGCAGGGATTGGAGCAGTAGGGCTCACAAACATTAGAAAAGATAAATCCATCATCTGTCTGTCTTAAACATTTGCAAGGCTGCAGATCAAGGCAGACACAGCTTTTCTGTCCTTTTTCCACACATTGGTGTAGGACATTGCTTGTTTTTAAGCCACCAGTTGCAGCTGTGTCACAAGATGACACTTGTTACGCAGTACTAGAGCGCTTGTGAGTGCGCTGCTATGCTTTACTACTGTGTGGGAGACGTGCACCTTGTCTGCCTGGTTTGAATGTGTGATGTGTCATACAAAACCACACAAATGCAAGCTAGCATTCTTAGGTCAAGGTGCTGACTTCTTGGGACTACTGGTAAGTGTTCATAGATTTATGGGCACCGTGCAGTCCTCCATCAAACCACGTTTACCACCATCATTTTGGGAAAGTGCTAAGCTAGTGTTTCCCTCCTTCAGACAAAATACATAGCTGTGTTAAGAAAAGTACTGAGTGCATTTTACTGTGCGTTGGAGGTTCTGACTTCAAGCTCTACTGCATCTCACTTTGGTGTAAAGGATTTGAAATTCTTGGTTTGAGTTGCCTTAGTAAAAACTTAGCACAGAATCGACAATAGACAGTGATTTCTTTTCTTAGTACTGGCACTTTCTGGTTGCTTGTTGATACAGAGTGGAAATGAAAGATGAGACTGGATTTGGTGTGAGCTAGCCATGTGGTTCAGAGGCATCCCTCCTTAGAGTTAAATGTAGCTTGTGTTTAAAAAAAAAAAGGAAATAAAAAAGGACATAGTTAAATAGAGCTGTCAGAGGACAAGTTCTAGCTTTAGATCACCCTGTTTTTCCAAATTATAAAAGCAAATTCAATTTTGGATAGCTAAGGCTGGACAGAAGGTACTGGACTAAACTTGACAGTCAGTACGTAAGGGATGTTTAAAGTCAGTTGGCAATTTCTCTCCCAGCTCACTGGCTTTGTAATGTTGAGCACTGGAGATCAGGCCTGATCCCAAGCAGGTCTGAATACCTGTCTTCTGTTGAAAGAATGAGTGTGGAAGGTGCTTGTGGCTAGACAAACTAACCTAGGAAGAGGTAGAATAGATATGTATGTCAAAGACAACTGCAGTTATAAGCCTATGATCATGATCAAAACCTTAGTGCAGAAGGAGGAAGCGGTCAGGAAGTAATTTCAATTACTGTGTATACAGCTGCACCCTGACACGCATCCTGAAACGTGTCCTTGAAATTATAAAATTATGTCCTTTTTTCACTGCTGTCTATCTGGTTGCCTTTGTCATCTACAAGACTTGCCTTCTGCCTTTTACAGAATGACTTGTTAACCATTACTACAGGTAACTGTCCCTGACACTGTTCTCTGAAATGCTGAGAAGCTTCACAGCTACACACCAGGGCTGACGTAACACCTCTTCCTTCTTGACACTGCAAAAAGCCTTGCAGTATACAGCAAACAAGTCTGTTGCCTTGTCTTAAATGGACCTGCTTAAAATGAAGATGATGCAGAACTTGATTCCAGAAACAGGGATGATGTGGAAGCCAGCTGAAGCTTAAAATCTCTGTAGCAGTAAGCAAGATTAATGGTGTTGAAATAACACCGTTTCATTAATTGAATGGGAACATCCCAGTGTCCAAGTGAACTTAGTCCTGCTTTCAGCCTCCATTTGCACAAGACATCTGACAATTTTGCAGCTGAGAACAAGGACCTTTTGAAAGCAACAATCCTTTTGTGCCTTGTTAAGAGAGGAATCTGAGACTTGGAAGGTGTGGTTATTCAAGAGTTTATCCCAGAAGCTTCTGTAACAGATGTTTCTTTTTTCCTTGTAAGCTGTTCAGTTCCCTAAGAGTTATCCAGTTGGTGAAAATACTTGAAGATATACCAAGTCCTTTGATATTTTCATTTGTTTTTTAATCTTACAGGAAAATAAAGAATGATGATTCCCATCAGAGAGTTAACTTAACTAGAAAACTTTAGTGTAACCTCCTTTCTGGTATACATTTTTTAATTTATTGCTTTGGGGGGAAGGGGAGAATGTTAATAATTTTGCCTCCACTTCAGTAACAAGTCAGTCAATTGAACTGTAGATATCTAAGTGCTGGTAACAGGTTTTTCAGCCTTTATGATTTAATGAAATTTAATGAATTTAATGAAATTGTTTTCTGGATTTACACTTGGAAATGCTGATCTGCAGGTTTCCTATTCTAACTATATTGAGACTTTGTGCATTGATTTGTTTTGGCTATGGGGGAAGATATCCCACTTTCTAGTGATTTAAAGGTTGTTTGGTTTTAAAATACCAAAGCTGTTGTTTCTAAATAAATATCTTTCAGTCTAATCTGATCATGAAAGTGTGGTTGTTTTTTTCCTCTTTTTTTGGGGGGGGTTGTGTTCTCTCCTCCCTTTGCTCCTCACCCGGTTAAAACAAGCAGAGTCTTATGTTACACCTGTGGCCAGTATTGACTACAAAAGTGCTTAGATTAAAAGGAAATACAGTGTGGAAAATAATACATAAATGGGTCTAAGCTGGGAACAGACAATTTGGAAGGGATAAGAAAATACTGAAATGTACAGGGTGGTGCTAATCTGCATTTCCCTGGCTCTGTGTAACCTTGTTCTATCTTGAGGCATGCAGGCCAAGGTTTAGTTTTAAGAACACACACAAACGAACCCAGGGAACAATCAAGTAGCAGATTTAATGGCCATCCAGCAAGTAATGAATTTGGCACATTTGGTGCTGCCAACGAAAAGCTAGGGCAGGACTTAACTTGGAATTTTTAAATAGGTTACTGTCTAGTTTCAGATGGAAAACCTCCCTCAGAAAAGTAGATTTCAGTGTCTGTTACTTATCTGCAGGCCATTTCACCTGCTAATCTGTCTAGCATAGTTACTACCCTACAAGGGAATAGACTAAAAATAGTGAAGCAATGGAGTACATTATAAATTGTACACTAAGTACATTGTATATTGAAAGAGATATTAGCTATTACACTTTAAACAGAACATACCAGAAGTTTCTGCTCTTTCTTGCTGAAGTTCCATGCTTAGTGTCTGTGAAACATCTGGCATGAAGATGATAAGAGCTTCTAGGGAGCTGTTTCCAAGCCACCATGGTATCAGCTGGAGGCTGAGCCTTTTGATGTTCACTTGCAGAACTGCCAACAGCACGATGCCCACTGATTCCAAGAAAGATACTTCAGCCTATTTAGGCTAGACCTGGAAAAGATGGATAAGCAATTGTTACATAAAGCAGGAGTGGAACAAAAAAACCCAACCAACCAAAAAAAGCCTCGAGAGTGTTTTACATTAAAAATATTTCTTATGATTCTTATGAGCCTTCCCCCCATATAATAAAATAACTGCTTCAGAATTCCTTTACAAAGAAGAAAGGGAAAAAGAATAGGGTTTCTCTATTTACAGTGTGCAAGATAGCAGAAGGTTATTTGTGAAATGATTGCAGAAATGCTTAAAAAAAAGTAAACCAAATTCCATGTTTGCAAGCACACCCATAAAACAGGAAAGTTGAAACCGTAACTGAACATGGAAAATTTATACTTAAATTTTAGGTGGTATTCAATGAAAACGATAGCGGCATGGAAGTTAAACTGAAAAGCACAGTACATTTTTAAGCTTGTAAATTCAGACATTAAGAAGAGAGCCAACTAATTAATGAAAAAAATTTTTAGAATCTCCATTCTGCACTCAGTTAATCCTGATTTATGCTTTTGTCAGATAATAAATACAAGATGCCAGAACAGAGTTTGGTTGATGCCATTTGAAATTCAGAATGCAGCTTTCTCAAGTGCTATTGTTTGGGTAGGATAATACATTCTTGAGAAGCAGACAAAACAGCACAGCATTATATATTTCTGCCTTCCACATGCGTGCTCCAGGCATCTTTCATCCAAATCAGTACCTGCTGCTAAATGGAAGCTACAAAAATCAGGGATTTTGCTGCTTGTTAAATACTGACATCAAACAATAGATTTACTTCAGCTTTTCTGAAACCTCTAATTTGGTCTGTATGTACAATGCAACTCTGGTTACAAAACTGGCATTATGATATTTGTTTCCATTCTAATAATTCTGCTCCCCATGTGTGACCTGGCTTATGGGATAGAGATGTTTGTTTTTTAAATAACCAGTAACAGTTTTTCAGGTGAAGGGTAGGCAGATGGAAATGTGATAGAGGATGGAAAATTCCTGTAGTAGAAGAAAAAAAGGAAGAAATAGACACAAGGGTAAGTGTTGATATCAAGTCATTGATCTCAAATGTCCAGTAATGAGTTAGGACGCTTTCTTTTGTGGCAGCAGCTCTTTAGTGCTCTAAATGCCTGCTCTTGCCTGGTTTGTCCTATTGGTGAAAATGGTTTACCCTTTTTCGTTAAGTTCACACTGCGTTATACCACAGGTCAGCATGCTGATTTCCGGTGTAAAAATGCTCATTTGCAATGCTAAGGAACCCTATTCTCTTCCAGGGATGTGCTACTGATCTAACAATTGAAGGTAAATAGGAAAGAAATGAAGTCTGGCACACCGTGCTACACCGGTGTTTCTCCATCATCATGGACAGCTGGTTCTTTGTATTGCTGGAAACATCTTCCACTTCAAAGTGATTACAGTTTGCTTTATTGAAGAAGTATGGCATGAAAAAAACATATGCAACTCAATCTAGAAAAGAAGATACAGGTCTTCAGTCAGTACAAAGTGGTAGTGGCCATCAGTCACAAAACAAACCAGAACAAAATACAATTTCAAGCAATCATAGAATCAAACAATAATTAAGGCTGGCAGAGGGCCTCCAGAGATTGTCTAATCCAACCCCGCTGACATGTCCGAATCTGTCACTGTCTGAATGTATCAGACACTGTTACTGCTGAAATACCATCAACTGTTAGAATAATTCATTCAGTGTTTTCCTTCTGAAAACACCTTTGTGATGAACGTTCAAGGCAATGGGAAAGCAATCAGCTGCTACAGATAACATGTTAACTCAATCAGAATTTTTTTTAACCAAATTGTTTATATAGCCTGGATCCAAGGTCCATCTAAACTGGTTTTTTTAGGCACTTGTGTATATAAAAAAATTATCCCACAATTACACAATTTTTCCATTGGTATCAGATTTTGAGTCATGTGTCCCAGAGAGAAATGATAACATATAAAACGGCTTGCAAAGCAGAGCCCATAGCATACAGCTAACCGGCATCATGCTTGGAGTCCTCTTTGCTGTGTTGACTTGGGCAGCTGCAGGTACGTACCCAATTTCAGCACAATTTTTAAAGGAAAAATGAATTAAAATCCAACAGCAACTTTCCTTTTCTAGGGAAATTAGACATTCTGCAACAAAGCAGAAAGAGATACAGCATAGGCAGTTAATGAAAAAGTTCTCTCAGAACAGTAACTAGGTGTTGTGCTATTCTGTTCTTATTACAAGAGCTCAATTAGCATTACTATTCTCAGCCTTTAGCAAAGGCAAAGTTATTTTACTTAGCTTGAACGCACTGAAATACAGTAAATCCACATCAAATTGTTGCATTGGCTAAGAGCTGCATCTCAGCTGACACATGAGAATTTGGTTAAGCCAACTTGATTTGATCATCTGTTCAGAAAAATGAACCGTTCAAACAGGCTTTATATAACATTGGTCAGTTTTGACTGATGGCTGTATCCTCACTTCTATCACATTAAATCACAGCCTATATTTGTACCTTGAAATGTTCTGTGCAAACACAGTCTATATTTTTAAAAACCCCTCTCTTATAGGCATTTTTTTAAACCTCCTACCTTTAAAACACATATCCTGTTTTGCATGTCTTCTAGCCTTTGGCTGCGGGGTTCCTGCCTACCCACCTGCTGTGTCTAGAGTTGTTGGAGGGGAAAACGCAAGACCTTTCAGCTGGCCCTGGCAGGTCAGTCATTTTGTGCTTTCCCTGGAACAATTAGGGTTGTGCTACCCTCACACAACATGGCTGAACAGAAACAGGTCTTATATTTCATTTGATGCATCTCGCCTGTCATGTCTTAGGTTTTGAATATTACGTTCTGATCAATCCCAAAGTTTCCAACCTTTTTAAGAAAGCTCTGAATGTGCCACCTCTTGCTGGTTATGCAGGCTTTCATGTTCTTTCAGTAATCTTGGGCACCATCCCATATTTAAGCAAGACAACTGTGAAATTCGGTGGAGCATACAATGCCTACTGGAGCATAGTTGTACCTGGAGTTAAAAATACCTTTCTGAAGCAAATGAAATGCTCTATTTGAGCCAGGCTTAGCAAACGGTTTGGAAGAAACAACATTAAAAAATCAAGCTTTTGGATGATAGGGAAGGAGGGAAACCTTTTCTATGGCCAGGAGTTGGAAACAACTTTCTTACAAGCCTCCTGCCGTCTTCCAGCAGCAAGTTGTGTTCTGGGTGCAGGAAGAAAATGCAACAATGAAAAATCAGTAAGCAAAATTCTGAGCCTTACTTGATATGTTGATCCCAGGCCTCCCTTCAATACAGTTCCAATGGCAAATGGCATCACACCTGCGGAGGAACCCTCATTGCAACCAACTGGGTGATGACAGCTGCACACTGCATCAGGTAAATAATGGAGTTAAAGTCTGTACCCAGGAAGCAGTGCATGACCAGAGATAGACGAAGCAAAACCATATTAATGCCAGTTCTCCCTTTCCCAATTAAGAGCTCTGAGTTTCACATCATATCTTTTGGTTATAACTAATAGGTCAGAAGAAGAATGCCACCTTTTCATTTTCTTAAAAATAAAAGTAGAGGGGAAAAAACCCCTCATACAATTACCTGAATTCTATATTCTTCATTTTCTGTAAATAACTACAAACATCATTATGTTTTCAAGTTGCTATTAAAATTCAGCTGTGTTGCCTGTTTCTATAATACATGTGGCAGTGAGATCCACAGATTAACTAATCAATTAAATAATCACAAGTGCTTTAAATATACCAGTTGTTTTCAGTAAGCTCTTCATATTATGGGGCAGTATAACAAAGAAATGATCAGGTACAGCTATGCCCCTTCATCATCAAAACTGTTTCCAAAAAGACAACCCTATTTTGGTTTGGTAGCATATGTCCTTGAATATGTACCTATAGTTCTTGGTTATTGTAACACTAAGTGGTGGAAAATGTCGTAATACGAAATAAGAAGGATTGGCTGCATGTTATTATTATAAATCCTACATATTATATGTATCATACAGCTGTTCATCACTGTCAAAAAATCAGCCCAAATTGTTTACTTCATTGAAGAATATGAGCTGAATCCTGCAAAGATTGGAGGCATCTTGAGTTTGTTAATGAAGCCATAAGCAGGAGTTGACAGGATGGCTTGGAGATGAAATGATTACTAAGCCTAGCACAAAATGCTTTGCCCTTAGCAAATCAGTCAGACATTGGTTCAGCTCCAGACAAATCATGCATGTGATGTGAGATTACAGTCTTAAGGATATTCTTATTGAATATCTCGGGTGGCAAAGATGCAGATGCCTAAGCAGCAAGCCAGGAGCTTCATAACTGAGCGTTAGTCCTTTTCTTGCCCAGTTCTTCTAGGAAATATCGAGTATATCTTGGAAAATACAACCTAGCAGCTGTGGAAGAAGGATCAATTGCACTTCCTCCAGAAAAAATCATTGTCAATGAGAACTGGAATCCACAGAATGTTGCAAATGGGTAAGTTGGTGTCAAGTATTTTTTCAGTTATTAGATGCAGGCAAAAATCAAACTGCCTGAATCCCACCTACCCCGAATTGTGGCAGCTAAATGCAGAAATGTTTAAAGCCTCCTGTTACAGCTTACAGTGGTACTTCTAAATGTTTGCTCATAGAGGAGAGTTGAGTCTCCAGTTTGTACCTTTCCCCCCTCAAAAGAAGATAAAGAATTTTCAATATCAATTGCTTATTGATTAATTGTGTTTTCAGATACCATTTTGCGTGTTCACACTTGGGTGGGAAGCTGTTCTATGCAATGATTTCTTTCATACAGTGGAAAGGAATAAATTATCAATGGTATTAATATTGCCTATGTCCTGCTGCAGGCTAAGGGCAATTAGCAAAGAAATCCTCTCAGTTTCTAGGTCCTTGGAGTTAGTTCTAACACATGCTTGGTTTTGATGAAAAGAACCTATAAAAGGCAATTTCCAGAAAGCAGCCAGCAGGCAAGTGGACAGTTTTGCAGGAACAGTCTTCTAGTTCATGGATTTCCCCATTGCTTTGAGGGTGGAGGAATCTTTACTGCTTATGTACTGGCCTCCTTGCTCCCTTGCATCTCTTTTGAATAGGCCAAGTGCTGTATAACTGCTAAGTACTCATGCTACTGTGTCCTAATCTATTTGCAAATCTCTTCACCCCTTCCCTTTCTCTTCCCCACTCTCAAATGTGTGCATATGACCACAGGTACGACATTGCTTTGATCAAACTCACAGAACACGTCACCTTAAGTGACCACATTAAGCTGGCCTGCCTTCCCCCTGCACAAAGCATCCTATCATCCAACGCTGCCTGCTATGTGACAGGATGGGGAAGACTGCAGAGTAAGTACTTGGACATTTGCAAAATTGTGGAACACAATCTTTCAGTACTGCCTTTTCCTTTGAGATTGATTGGAAAAAGGCTGTGATGGTGCTCAAGATCCCCTTAACCTCAACGCAGTGAAGTAGTTTATCAGGCCCCACTTCACTCACACAATATGATTTTTCCCTGCCTTTAAAAGTTCATTTCGCTTGTAATGAGGCTACTAATGCACTAGAGGGCCCTGTACTAAGCTTTTAGAAGCTATTGTAACACAAATCTTAACAGCATGCAGACTGGTGAATTTGCTAATCGTAACATACCCCACTGAATAACTGAAAAGACACATAAGGGAATAGATGTAAAGTGAAGAAAGTCTCAGAGATTTCAGCAGAAGCATCAGCTCGGCCCAAGGGGCAATTCCTAGAATGATAACTAAATTGCATACTCCTGAACACAGGGCAGCCCTTTTTTTCTCTAACAATGAGACATTTTTAAATGGAACGCAAATTATTAGCAAGTTAAGGCCTTTATATATTTTTTTTAAATTTTTATATATATAAATTTATATATATACACATATATAATAAATATACATATATAATAAATATACATATAAATTTTTTTATATATATATACACACATACATACAAAAGAATGGAGCTAAGGAATGGATTATACAGCTTCTCTTTTAATACAGCCCCTATAGAATTTCTTACCTGGAGAGATAATACCCAGATCCTGGGAGAAACTTAACAATGCAGTTTTGTTCTTTCTCCAGTGCCAGCTGGTACCATGACTCCTTTGTTTCTATTCCCTCCCAGCAAACGGAGCTCTTCCAGATGACCTGCAGCAAGGCCTTTTGCTGGTGGTGGATTATGCAACTTGTTCCAAGCCTAGCTGGTGGGGAAGCACAGTGAAACGCACCATGATTTGTGCTGGTGGGGATGGAATCACCTCCAGTTGTAACGTGAGTCCAGAGAACATTGCTCTTAGAACTTGGTTTCAGACACAAACAGGCCTGATGGGAAGGAACACTTAAAAAACCAAGGAGGAACTACTCACACTATGACTGCCATTAACTGTGTTCCCCCTTCCTTCCAGGGTGACTCTGGTGGCCCACTGAACTGCCAAGGTCCTGATGGCAGGTGGGAAGTGCATGGTGTTGTCAGCTTTGGCTCTTCTCTCGGCTGCAACTTTTATCACAAGCCTTCTGTCTTCACTCGGGTCTCTGCTTACAATAGCTGGATCCAGCAGGTAAGGTTCTAGGTACTGCTGCTAGAGAATACAGACACTTAGCTATTTCTAATGTATTTATATATAATTTATTTATATATTTATAGTCATAAAGATTTTACTGGTATGGCTTCAGAAGTGATTACTGAAATTTGTATTCATCAGTAACACTGATTGTTGCAATTGCATCCTAGAAGGCAGTGCATGCTGCTCAAGTCTGGAACATCAATTATTTTTTAATTTAATATAAACTAATCTAAAAAGTGACTGAGAAGCAAAAATCTTATTTCAGTTATTTAAATCCTGCATCTTGGATGCAACATATACTATTCACAAATTCCTGGGTCTCATGATCTGATTTTTCACTTGTTTTACATTTTTGTAGGTTATGGCAACCAACTAATCCAAAGAGAACTGGATGATAGATGCCAGGAAGGAAAACAGTTTGAATAAAGTCATAGTCACGACACCTTTGACCACAAAGAGCTGGGAAATTATGCTTTTAACAACACAAGTATTATACCCAACCATACTGCAATAAACACTATTTTTCGCAAGATGAAAGAAAAACGTGTCCTTGTCACTTCTTCCTGTTTGTTGTCAGGACCAGAGCCTGTATTTAGTGATAACGCTGGAGACCTTTTACAGCCTTTCCCCTGCCTTGGGCTGGAGCTTGCCACCCTCACTTGGGTGGGGGAAGATGCGAGTCTGCTGTGAAGAGGCTGGGCAGTAGGAAGAGTTAGAGAGCCACAGGAACAACTCCGGGGGCAGGGGGTGAGAAAGTGAGGCACTGGCAGGGCTGAAGGCAGCAGGCAGGCAGCTACCCGGACCCCTGAGCCTGTGAGCAGGACTCACCAGAGCAAGCAGTCGCAATGCCCAGCAGGAAGGCAGCACGGGTGCAAGCACATCCATGCAGGTGAGTGTGGGAGCGCTGCAAAAGGCTTTTACAGAGAGGTTTTTAACACCCTCTGATCTTGGGACTTAGCACGGGGAAGGACGAAATCCTGCAGTGCGTGCCGGCAGCATCGCTGCAGACCTATCTCCTTCACGTCCCTGTTGCTTGCTCTTAAGTCATCCAGATGCCAGGTAGAGACCTTTGAACTGTCACCATTGGCTGACACACAGATACGAATGGGGATTTTTTGCAAAGCACAAGCAGAATCACCACCTTTTACCCTGGTCCTACATTAAAGCCCCTATTTATATATCTTTCATTGTAACAAAAGGTAGGCAGTATAAAAATCAAGGTGGATTTTCGTTGTGTTTTTCTTCTCCCTCCTGGCACATATTTTGTCAGATTCAAAAGTAAAATGGTTGATTAAAAACAGAGGACAAGCGACTCAAAGGTAAGCAGTAGACAGAGTAAGGAAAAGATTGGAAGTGTGTTGTGAGAACAGAAATGCACTTGGGTTCAGAGACAAATATTTCTAGGTTTGCGGTTCCTTTCAGTCAGACATTTTGCAGTTGTTACCTTTGGATTGAAAATAAATAAATAAATAAATCTTATTAAACATAAATTGTATTAAATAAAGATGGGTGTTTATCATCTTTGGGGACTGTACCTTTGTTACTTTTCTTCTACTTTACAATCATTGACCACCATTCTGCTGCGAAGAGCCCAGTAGGAACAGGCAGGCTTTATTGGGTTTTTATTTATCTTATTAAAAATGTAATTTCACCTATCTGAAAAAGCACGGGACCTGGGGAGGAATTTTTTCAATCAGCTCTACTATGTCGAGGAAAAGGAAAAAAAAAAAAAAAAAAAAAAAGGGGACTGAGCTGAAGGGACGGATCAGCAACCCAGTCCCCTGGTTTGTTCTTTATCAGTGGAAATAAGGGTTGCCCAGTTATTCAGGAGTCGCCAGCTTCAGCATAACATCCTGAGTTGTTTTCATGAGTATCATTAATGTAAAATTGTAAATTGTATTGATTAATAGTTCTGAAAATGAACATCATTAGAGGTTACTTTGCCGTATGGAGCATGGATGTCAATTATGCAGAGCATGAAAGAGAAGGACAGAAAAGGTAATCATGAAGCTCAAATAGTAAAAATTGGATATGTATATGCTTCTGTAAAAACTGAAGTAAAACTGAAATTTGATTAACTTTCCTTTTGAAATAATTAGACAATATTGTGGAAACATCTGAACTCATTTGAACATATCAACACAAATTATTAATCATCTGGAAATTCCTATTAATAACAAATTCTAAAAGTTTGGTTAAAAAAATTAACCAGTTCCAATCACTGCAATAAGTAACCCATTTTTTTATGGGCTTCTTTAAGATTTGGATAGAAGTACCACAGAGAATAAAACCTATAGCAAATGATTTTATCAGTATTAATACTCCCAGAAAAACTACATGATTTCATCAATATGTTTTTGCAGCTCTGAGTGTGTCATGGAAACAGTCTCTTTACTACACCTTTTCTTTTAAAATAAAAGGTCAGGTGGAACAAAATATAATAAAATATATCTTTCAATAACATTCAGCTAATGCACGATCCCTGTACTTTGTTTCAGAACACATGTGAATTGTTAAATATCCCTACTAGCTCCAGTTATGTTTTCAGGAGCTGCAAGAAACACCCCAGACACCCCCACTTTTTTTTTTTTTTTTTTTTTTTTTTAGATGTTCTCCCCCCTACAACG